TTTGCCCTTTGTTTATGTGCGCCGAGGTTGGCTCAAGATTACTCTTGACCTTCCGAGGCGAAGAATTAAAACCAACGATAGCAGGCTGAAGAAACTTTTTTGTTGTTAAGGGAAACAACGAACGCGGGTTCTAGACTGAAAGGAAAAGACGAAAAGCGAATCGGTTGAAGCAAAAATCAGTGTACATTTGAAGTCGGTTTTGGAAAAAAAAAGCATCTCGCTTTGATCGATCGCTGAAAGAAAACAGTTTAGGATTTCTAATATGGTGAGGACGCAGAGCGGCTCGGTGTAACCGTTACTACACGCAGCAGAAGACGACTTCACCTCTATCGACGATTCCGTCGCTTCGAACAATCAACAACACGGTGCGAAGGTTTTTCGCACCTCTACTCGAACTTTCTGAACTACGACGTGTTTTAGCCCGCATTTTGCGACGCGTTGAAACACTACTACACCTGGCAGCATAGCCATGGGCTGCCTGGACTTCCTCTGCGGTGCGTCGGACAAGGCGAAGATGACGCTCCTGGAGAACGGCGCGTTGACGGAGCTCGCGTGCTTGCGCCAGGAGTTGATCTTGGCCCGCGACGACAACCGCGAGACCAAGCAGAAACTGCAGGAAATGGAAAACAAAATGAAGAACTCCACCCCGGACAACAGCCCCGTGTGCGAGGATGTCGATGACGACATTTTATCGCGTCTCGAAATTCCCGCTCCCGCGTGTTCTTCGTGCGATGTGGAATTGCTGGACAAGTACTCCAACTTGCTGGACAAGTTTGAAGCGCTGCAGAACAAGCATGACGCTTTTGTCACCATGATGGAGGAAAAGATCAAAGAAGCAACTCCGGCGGAGCAGAACAAGAAGATCGCGCCCCGTGCGGGACAGCGCATTACCCGGATGGACTGGCAGGAGATTAACGAGGTGATCCCGATCCCCGCCAAGGAGTTAACCAAGCTGGATGAGAAGAAGATCGACCTGTTAAAGTTCCCGCCGAAGCGAGCGGAGATGTCCCGGCGCAGCTGGTTCCGTTCCGTGCACAGCTGGGCGAAGAACCAGCGCAAGGTGGGACAAACGAATGAAGACATCGGTCAGGCCGTGTTGGACTACGCGCTCAAGGAAAAAGATCCGGAGCGCGGTCATGCGGAAGGCGCGGATACCAC